GATCTGATTACCTCGAAATCATATCAAATAATAATTATAAAAATATCCTATAATAATTATAAAAATGTAATTCAATATTTTAATTCGCCTTAAAATGTTCGAATAGCTGGCTCCTATATTTTATGATTACGAAAGGACCCCGTTGGGTTTGAAGAAAATGACAATGGCATTGGAGGTGTTTAATACATACTTGAAACGCGAGAATACAGAATATGCTGCTGGCAGTGAGTAACCCAGTTAGTTAGAAAAGAATTTGAATTTAAGGTTGTATGAAGTTGTAAGATCCCTGCCAAAAGTTTAAGACATGTAATAAAAAGCATTCATATTTTTTTATAAACGAAATCAAAATTCTGTCATTCGACATAAAAAATTCAAGCTGTAATAACTTTTTTAATAAGTTCGCAAAATTTCTAAGATTTTGTACAATGTTTTATTAATGTAATATCTAGTAACTGTTTAAATTTCATTGCTTTCTCATTGTTTTTATGTAAGAATTCACATACAACCTTAGTGCGACTTCACTGTACCTCGCTTTATATCACTCGTATCGTTTACTCGATCGTAATGAATTTCTTTTGTTTAATTGACAGATACACTGACTATCGCGGACTTTCCATTGATCACCGCTACCATGTGTTTAGAGGCGATCGACTTTAAATTAAACCCGTGGCCTTACGTAGAGAAGTGGTACAACAATTTTAAACGAAAACATCCGGACTTGTGGGAGATCGCTGAGGATGGCATGAAAGTGCTTATTTATTTGTCAAACAATCCACCAGACTTGTCTCACTTGAATCATCCGATTCATCCAGCTCGCAAAATCAAAACATAATCTTGTTACACGAGAAATTACAATAACTCGACGAAAATTAAATCAATATTGTTGTATTCTTTTTATTGGCGTACATCGATATGTGTATTCCAATTTTTCTGAACATTACATATACACTTAGTGTTACTGCAACCTGTAACAATTATTCCGATAAAACTCCGAATTACTAAGGAAAAATTACTGCGAAACAACTATCCCACCCTGTATACTATCGAGCACTACGATGTTATGTACACAGACTTATTTATATAATAAACATTCCAGCTTACATGTGTAATAAATATTTCTTTCCCACAAATACAACGTTTATTAATAATTCTTGTATACATATAATTGACCGTACGCGTCATAAATTATGTATAATATATTCTACTCCGACTATACGTGTGTACAGTTGAATCAACATTCGAGAAGAGTGAATAAATGACAAGATGATAATAATCCCTTTTAATCCCTTTCACTTATTTGTACTCGTTTAAGCTTCAGAGCATACGTTTATCAGGACTCCATAAAAATATGATTATATCTTTATTTCATGTAATTAAATCTTTGATTCAGTTGAACATCAATTGGGAATTAACGTTAGGTTTTTTATTCAGATTTGACTAATCACAAATTAGTTGGAAGAAAGGAGGATCAACGACTGGGTTTTAATTTTTGATTAGAGAATACCCCAATCGGCGATTTGGAATTAGATAATCATTAATTATTAATGCGGGAATTAAATTTGCAACCCTGATGTACACCGAAGGCAGCTTGTGTCGAAAACGTAGATCAGAGGTCGCCAAACTCTTTTTTATTAACGCGCCGTGTCAGTCATTGACGACTGACAATACTTTTCGTTCAAGCAGCTTCCAGTCACTGTTGACGATATACAATTTAAAATATATTCTTTTATTTATAAATTTTAAATAATTTAAATATCATAAAAGAATGTACCTAAATATTAATGGTTATCAAAACATTTTTAATACTTATCATTAAACCACGTAATGGCTAATAAAACAATTAATAGCTGAATAGAAAGCAAACAAACAGCCTTGGCGCTTAACGTGTTAAGAAGCTTCTATACCTGACCAACAATCTTGATGAGTTTTAATAATATTTTGTTAAACCTAATTCTACACTCAATTTCTTCACTCCGAATCAACCAATAATGTTATATCGACCATTTTGGCGACCCCTGACACAGACAGGCCCATGATCTTGCATATTTTAATCAAGATTATCTACGCAACTAATACATCCTATCTTACATAGTTTACCGATGAGAATCAATTATTTTACTTTGCAATTTGCGCAGATTCCAAATGAAATTATGCAAAATCATATCAGATATTATGACTATAATACAATATTATCTGCATCGCAAATTGAGACAAACTGGCAAATAGTGGTACACTAGATTCATTTGCTGAGAGACGAAATGACGAGTTTCTGAAAAATGATTCGGTGATTCGAACCATCGTGATTGTTTACTGAAACCTTTAACTGCTATAACGAGACACTAAATTTAGAAAACAAAACGTACCAGTCTTTTTATATGAAAAGGTGCACATGTAGTTTTGAAGATGCATTACCGTAGGCGAATAAGCGATATGTTAAGTTGAATTGAGCGAAAATCCTATGATAATTTCTCTATGTAAATTAAAATTTGGCGATACCTTCCTCTGTTAAGAACACTTTGGTAAAGAACTTTTTTTTTTTCTTTCGTTCAATTAAGAATAAGAGAAGACGTTAAGCTAACACGATAAAATAACGATAGACATGCATACATATAGGGTGTCCCAGAAAAAGTGTCACAGCCGAAAGGAAGTGATTCTGTAAGTGTTTCTGAACAACAATTTCCTTTGGCGAAATGCAAAATGAGGCATGGTTTTTGAATTATTAACGAAGAACAGTGACCAATGAGAGCACGTATAGAACTCGCGCTAAGCCATGGGCGAGGGTCACGACTCGAGCCGACACTCTATTGGCTAAGCGCGGCCTGCACGTGCTCTCATTGGTCAGTGTCTTTCGTTAATAATTCAAAAAGCATGACTCACTTTGCATTTTGCCAAAGGAAATTGTTGTTCAGAAACACCTCCAGAATCACCCCTTTTCGGTTCTAACACTTTTTCTCAGACACACTTTATATTTCGTAAGTATAATAAATTCTTATGATCGAGAAGTTTTACCATGCTGCACGATCGTTCAAAGGAAAACTTCGTTTGCCTGTTTCTATTGCTATGTATAACATTTGATTGTCTTTACATTATATTAGTCGCATATTCATAAGCTAATCTTGTCTATTATATTTATACTAATACTGACGATGAATAAGTTAGATTTCGAAACGAATGTATCAGTATTACTATTTTTCCGTAGAAGATAAAGTGTTGAAGACGGTAATCACTGTGAATGGAAGAAGTATCGAGATGGAGAATTCATAGAAATTGATGTGAGGTGAATTTCCCAGGAGTAATTCGATAGACAAGAAATATATAATCGTATGAATTAATGGTAAACTATAATCGAGAGCAATAGAATTTTACCAAATTAAACGTTTCTCGTATTAATAACAGCAAGTCGTTTGAATTAACTTTCCGTAGATATGTTTTAATATTATACTATACATATTTGTGAAAGACAAAAGATTCCATCTAATACTTTCATAGCATTACCTTCAGTAAAAATTCATTCAAAAACAATTGTACACTACGGTCTATCATCGATGACGCTAATTGAATCATAAGACGATCGTTCGCTAAATTGCTTACGTAATAATACTGACGAACTCGAATAAATGATCGGGCAAGGAAATGATTCTAATCGATATGTGAGATAAAAAAGAATGTTTGAATATAAACGAGGGAGACCGAATTTCGTCGTGATTATAAGAGACCCTCTCTGAAGTCGTTTCCTTCCGGCTTTCTTTCGAAAGTTTCTCCATCAGAATCCGTGCATTACTGTTTTGGCAAATCGATTCTACCTGTGGTCGAGGGTGCGACACACCTAGTCACCGAACTCTTTCCGAGGGTGAGCGAAGATGCGATTTTATGTAACCGGTGCGATAATCGATCACGTCGCGTTGGGTACCTCCCGATACATCGTGTCCATGTTTCCTACTCTATCTGTAATCAAATCTCAGATTAATCCTGTCGGTTACGAGACCTGCGAACTCTCACATATATTTTCTTTATCATGTTTAAACATCCAGCCGATCCATAGAAATCCTTTGACGAAGAAAACACAACGACGTTCTAATTGAATGAAATTATTAACAAAAATTTCTATGGAAGCAGCTCAAGATGTTTCGTTCCTCTCAACGTTCTCGTTAGAAAGAAATTTAAAAAAAAAATAGTATATTTTAACATGTATATAATATGTATTTAGTATTTTGCGTTATGGGCTAAGGAACGAAAATATCAATCAATCGAGCAGCATGACATCAGACACGATACTTCATTCCGCAAAACGAATTACATACGTATAAAAATGGATGGGTAAAATATTATACATTAAGGGGGCAAGACGAATAAATAAATGCTAGATAAATCATCTACGGGGAACAGGATTCCACGCATTCCTAGATGCAGGCAAATTGCAGATGTACTAAGTATTAATAACTCTCACAATCAGAGTCACTACCAGAAACTAGTAATTAAACATGAACAAGTATGTTTAAAAAAGGGGGCATGTATCATGAATATTTGGTGTTCGTAGAATCAGTTTCACGCGACAAGTAGTCCTTATCTATGTACAGAACACAATTCGCTTTAACTCGACAACGTTAAACTACTCACAGCTTTTCATTGCGACGATTAAGACAATGAAAAATACTTAATCCTACCGTGTCGTCGATTGTCTTTTTTTTCTTACATTGAATCAGGATCTGTATTTTAGAGACGAACACAAAGGAATGTCTAAAGCAAATGGAAAGACGTACACATGGAAGCCGAGAGTACAAAGTACCAAGGAATCCATGACATAAATGTGATACATATTACAATCCATATAGTCGATGAAACCGTTACGGGTAATACCAGGTAATAAATTGGAAACGAGTGCGATATTTCGGTAAAAATGATTTGTATATTTGACGATTTAATTTATGGAGTCGTCGTATCGGTTTCGTCAACTGTACTGGCAAACGAATAAGATTAACAAATAAAAAATCACCGAAAATACGACATAAGTTTTCCCCATGCACTTCTTGATAGGCTGACAGGCGACCCACAAACGGTTTTTTGAGAACAAAAAGTGTATAACATTTCTCTAAATAAGTCGCTATCAATTTCAGTAGTACCTATTTGTCGCCTTATCGAAATAAAACGTGTCACGTAAAATCGTCGATAACTTAAACTAACGGGTACATATTATAATACAGTATACATATATTCAATGTCTAAACACTGTGCTTCCTCGATTTCAGTGAAGGCATTAGGAATATGAAGACTACATGTAGCAATATTCGTAATGTTATCATACAACGAGATTGCGAGTAATTTGAGGTCGTCAAGTTGAGCAATACTTCACACTGGAAGAATATATGTACAGACTCCTGAAAACGATAATTGTTTCATCAGTAATTTGAAAAAGTCATGATGAGTACATTTAGGGGAGTTCAATTAATTAATAGAATTTACAATCAGACTTTTATCAGCTGCTCTCACAATCAGTAGATGTTTGACTTTTATTAAAAAGATGTGCAGTAATATTTGATTCAAGTGAATGATGTCAGTTTCTCATAAGACCTAATGTAAAAATCTAATAACTTTTCTTATAGATACTGCCTACAGTCTTTTTAAAAGATCCATCAAGCAGTGTTCCGAATATTAAAATCTGATTGTTAATTCTATTATCAATAGAGCTCCCTTAAATATTAGAAAAATATAGAAACAAGATATGAAATTGAATTTAGTTTTAATTTGACTTCATTTTTAAATTATCCCTGCTCTTTCGTTATAAATATAGTGTACAGCTACTAGTGGTAGTAAATTTTAAGGCGTGATCTTTAGAAGCCAACATATGGCAAAAATCAAGAACAAAAAATTTTTTTAAATCTACTGGATGTGATATAAAAATGTTAAACTGTGTTACACATTATATGCATACATGAGTCTTTTAGCACCCCACAGAAAATTGTGTTATTTGGTCCAATATCAAATAAGTAATTCTATTTCCAAAAAAGGTTTGATCAATCCTCGGATCCAGTTTTCTTGTTCCTTGCTTTATTTTGGCTTCCGGGATCAGCCCTTAAATCATCTTCCCAACAGTAGCTGTCCCAGCAGATCTATTGAAGGTAGATTCGCAACAGATCATGAATAGATATATGAAATCATGGGACCCTGTCTCGCGGCTTTAGTGTTCAGCCATACCTTGCGTTCAGTTCTGAAGGCCAAGAGGATGGGAACGTTGATGACTGTTCGTCGTGTTCGAGGTCGAGGTCGAGGTCGTGGTCGTGGTCGAGGTCGCGATCAAGGCTGTGTTCGATATGGGAATGGGTATGCGGCGAGGTGGCTGTGGCTGGAGTTGGGGCTGGGATTCGTATGGCGCGTTCTGCTGCGGCGAGATAGTGGGACGCCGGTGGGTAAGATTCGCGGCGGTGGCCACCGGCGCCTCGTTCCCCGGCTGGGTGCTGTTTGCCTGGCCGGTGTTACTGCTGTTCATCGGCAACAGCATTTGGCCGTCGCCGTGTGCCGACGATACACCGTAGCTTCGGAGCCGGTATTGCCGTGGCTGCATCGAGGGACACCGGCCTCTGGCAATAGTTGTCCTTCGTTGCTGCCCGCCCGTGGTACTGCATATATTAATCCCAGTCTTTCATCAGTATTTCCCAACTAATTTCCTGCATCTCTCTCTCTTTCGACTGCGCCCTTGGTCCTGGTACACTTTTCTCACGTCACGACTCTTTTCTTTTTTCAAATAGTCGTATGCGCCTTTGCACTTCTCGTTTAACCGGTCCGAATTCGTATTTGTCGTCGCAGAAGTTCTTATATATTTTTATTCAATAACATCGAAATTAAATACACATATTTTCTGTCCACAGCCTCATGCGG